GCGACGCGGGCCAGTGCCGTGTAACATCTGGCGCAGCTCAGAGCGAGGCATCGCGCGGCCGCGACCGTTGCGGGGGGCAAAGCCTTCGGCGAGGGGATTGTTCTGGCCGCCGACCCCCGCTCTACCCCGTCGCCCTCTCCGTCGCCGCGTCGCGGTGGGCCTGCCGCGGGCGCCGTTGCTTCCTCGGGCGCGTCGTCTTCCAGCGGCCCTGCCCCCGGCGACGCAGACTGGAGTGGCGGGGCTGCAAACCTCGAGCATTGCAGCGACAAAACATGTTGTTACTTGTCGTATTATCTGAACAACTGGATCTAGATCGATGAGAACGATAGTGCAATCATTTGGCGTGCTAACATTGCTACTCGTACTGTTGGACAACTTGGTGCTGGTTGCGAGCATTTGGTTTCCCGCCTACTGTGACCAATCTATGTTTCGTTGATTTGAGTTTCATGGTGATGATTTCGTTGTGTAGACTCTTCCTCAACATTCCAGATCAGTAGATCTATTTAGCATTTACGTGACATCGCAGCGCGTACTTTCGCGTGGCACTCAGGGCATAAAAGCATCCAGGCAGGTCGCCCGCCAGCAATCTTATCGAATTTGACATTGTATATTGTACGTTCATGGAAAGGTCTGAGCACGACCTATGCAAAGCATCATTCCCATGACTCCTATTATGATGCCGGCGTCTCAGACTTGACACATATATTGTGATGGCAATATTTTATTGTTGATGCCTGGTGTGCCTCACGATATACGTGTTACGCTATCTAGTTGGTTGATCAGTTGCTATCGCAACTTCGGTCGTACTATCAAATTCATTCGGGCCTGGAGAGTCCCGAGAATGATTCTGGGCCTGGAGTGCCCTGTGAATGAAGCATCTTTTGCCTTGGACGAGTTGTTGTCACTTTTCTGACCCTTATCATTTTGATTGCACTTGCTTTGCGCACGGATCTTTGTGCGCCGGTGGGAACACCCGCGTTCTCCGACGCGGCGTTGTTTTTCCCGCTTGATCTACATTCTCTTGCCCTCCCAGTCTCGCCGCCCGTGGTGGCGGGGAGTCGCCCAAAAGTGCCCGAGCGTTTCGGGGGGCGCACCCTGAGCCCGCTAAAGGCGGGTAGGCTCCCCTTAGTGCCCTGCGTGGCGGGGTTGGCCCCCTTTCTTTTCTTCCTTGCCGGTGCGACCTCGTTTGGAGGCGCGGTTGATATGACGGGCCCCGCCCCGCCCCGCTCCGAGCCCCGCCTTCGTCCCCCGCGGGCCCGAGGCCTGCGTGGAGCGGGCGGGGTTCGGGGCGGTGTGTGTGTGTGCGTGGGTGTAATCCGTTCATATCACCACTATATCTTTGCATGCCGCTAACGTGTCAGTTCAGGTATTGCTACAACATACCTCACTGCCTCCACCGCAGCGCCCTGGAAAAAAGGACTCGCGACCCTCTTCTTCTTACTTCCTCTACTTACGGGAAATTGTGAAGGTTCAACTCTTCGGTCGTTAACCTACACACATATTCCCTGGTTCGGTCTAGATCGGCCATGCGTCCAGAAAATCGTTATGGGGGGATTGCGGGCGGGGTTGTCGTCGGTCTCTGGATGGGCAAGTTTTGTCGTTCCTGGTCCCAGGCGAGGCACGGCCCCCACTGGGACCAGCTGGCGCCGCCTCCGAAGTCCTTTTTATCTCTGGCGCCTCCCAAACCTCGAGGCGCGCGCCCAGCGGGCCTGCGCGAAAAGAAACGCGCAGCTCAAATTCTGCCTTTCGCTCGTCCGTGCTTGCCGCCGCGTCCATGTGCCCGTGGCGGTGAAGAACCCCGATAGCAGCTGGATGTGGCAAGTTCCTCCCCTCGCCTGCTTTCCCCGGCGGCCAGATAGCTACGCGTGTATCGTTCATTGTTGCGTTTTCGGCACCCGTTGGAGCAAACGTGCGCGGGTCCAGGTCAGGGGTTTTAGTTTTCGTTTCAGGATTCCAGGTCCGTGCCGTGGGCGGTCAGGGGTGTGCAGTTTTTCGGTAAAACAGCACACTGTGTTCACCGGCCGAGACCCAAACTCGGGCAAACTGTGGACGAGAGCGGCTGAGCCTCACCCTGGTCGGTTTTGTAAGATGCTTGCCCAATCCCTGCAACAGGCCATTGAATCTCTGCGTGTGTGCCGGCTTCGGCAACTTATAACTGGCGGCTAATGCCAGGATCTAAATCGGGGTGGTTTGTGTTTCTCTTCCCCTCTTTCGTCCGTTGGGGTTGTGTTTGTGTTGTGTGTGTGTGTGTGTGTGTGGCTGTGCTGTGTTGTGTCTGTGCCGTTCGCTCGCCTCCCCTCGTTCTCTGCCGAGCTCTGTCCAGGGCCGCCCTGTCCTGCGCGACCCGTCTGGCCCTAGACACACAATAACTCCTGGCCTGGCACAACGTCGCCATGATGATGATGCCGCTGCTGCTGCTGCTGCTGATGATGATGATGATGATGATGATGATGGTGCGGATGATGATGAAAATGGTGGTGACGGTGATGATGGTGACGATGTTGATGATGTTGATGATGGTGATGATGTTGATGATACGATGATAATGTTGATAATGATGAGGATGCTGTTTATGGTGTTGCTGCTGCTGGTGCTGATGCTGCTGTTGCCGTTGCTGGTGATGATGTTGATGATGATGGTGGTGATGATGATGCGTTTTGATAATGATGGCGAAGATGATGATGCTGGTGATGTTGAAACGGGCGATGATGATGGTGATGATGATGATGATGATGGCGATGATGATGTTGATGATGATGCGGATGATGATGACGAAGGGGATGATCATGCTGATCATGTCGCGCGTTGTGGTGGTGGTGATAGTGATGATGAGGGTGTGCGTGGTGGTGGGAGAGGTGGTGGAGGTGATTGTGATGACGCTGATGATTATGACGATGCTGATGCGGATTATGGTGATGATGGTGATGGTGGTGATGATAATGATGATGGTGCTGATGATGCTGCTGGAGATGATGAGGATGATGATGATGGTGATGACGATACATATAATGATGATGGTGCTGATGACGCTGATGGTGATGATGGTAGTGACGCCGATGATGCTGATGATGACGATGCTGACGATGACGATAATTGATGATGATGCAGATGCAGATGCTGAGTTTGATGATGGTGATGATGATGGTGATGGTGGTGCTGCTGCTGGTGGCGATTATGATGATTGATGATGGTGGCGATTATGCTGGAGATGCTCTTGATGATGGTGATGCTGATGATGATGATGATGATGGTAATGATTGTGATGATGACGGTGGCGATGATGATGGTGGTTATGATGATGATGATGATGATGATGATGATGATGATGATGATGATGATGATGAGGATGATGATGATGATGATGGTGATGGAAAGTAGGTGCGTATGAAGCTCCGTAGAGAGACATAATGGATGTGGACTGCGAGGACGGGGCTCATAATGATGGGGGGATGGGCTGGGTCCTCCCTATCTCTTCCGCCTTCCCGGCCGCCCAGTCCCCCCCCACACTTCACCCCGATCAGGAGGAGGACGAGGAGGAGCACGAGGAGACGGAGGAGCAGGAGGAGCAGGAGGAGAAGGAGGAGGAGGATGAGTGAGGAGGGTGAGGAGGGTGAGGAGGAGGAGGACGAGGATGAAGATGAAGACCAGAGTAAACGCAAGGTGCATCAAGTATGCTGTAATCCACGCTCCAAGTCCAAGCCCCCTCCTGATACTCCCCTGCAAGGTTTCTGTTTGACTAGAAGCTACATCTCCATGAACGACCATCACAGTTGGGCCTGCCTTTGTGGTGAGGGCCTCGCTTTGGAAAGGAATGGCCTTGCGCATTTCTGGCGCATAACCTGGAACGCGAGTTTGTGCGATGATATTGTTCAGCGAGGTGTCCAGCGAGATCCCCCTTTCGAGGAAGGACCACCCCGCAGTGCATATGTTACACATGTGCGCGCTTTGTCGCCATGCACTGTGAGGACAGCCGCCACGACAGCCCCATTTTGAGAACGAGCCGCCCTGGATCCGTGCAGCGCTGCATGCGTTGAAGCGTCGGGCTCGTAGAAGGCACGGCAGCTCACGCGGTAGCCCCGTGTTGAAAAAGAGCAGTCTTCCACCTTGCTGAACGCTGGATGAAATAACGAGTGATCGCGGCGCTGGCGCGAGAGCCCCGTTTTGAAAACCACCAGTGCTCAATCCAGGAAGCAGCTTTTGCAAGATTTGGGGACGGCTGTTCGCGGCGCGAGGGCGAGAGCTCCATTTTGCAAACGATCCGCCCTTCCAGTTGTGAATCGGTGGCGGGTGCTGAAGACGAATGTGCGCGCCGCTGAGGCGAGCGCCACATTTTGAAATCGGCCCCCGATCCATCCATGAGGTTGTCGCGAACTTGTAAGACAACTGCGCGCGGCGCTGAGGCGAGAGCCCAATTTTGATCACGACCCCACCTCCATCCGTGAAGCGGGAGGGGGTCCTCCCTTCCCCCCTGCCTTTTTCTGCCTTGCACCCCCAACTTCACCCCACCGCCTCCCAAGTCTGTCGGGTGCCTTCGGGGAAGTATAGGGAGGAGTGAGGTGGAGGGCGAGGGCGAGGAGGGGGGAGTAGGAGGAGGAGCTGGAGGAGGAGGAGGAGGAGGAGGAGGAGGAGGAGGAGGAGGAGGAGGAGGGGGAGGCGGGGGAGGGGAGGAGGAGGAGGAGAGGAGGAGGAGGGAGGAGAAGGAGGAGAAGGAGGAGGAGGAGGAGGAGAAGGGGGAGAGGGAGGAGAAGGAGGAGGATGAGGAGGAGCGGGGACCGTTGAAGGGGAGGAGGAGTGAGGAGGGGGGACAGGGAGAGGAACAAGGCGCTTGAGGAGGGGGAGTCTCAGGAGGAGTGAAAAGGGGAGGAAGAGTGTGGACGAGGAAGGGGAGGATGATGAGGGAGATGGGAAGGAGGGAGTGGAGGTGGGAAGGGGAGACGAGGATGAAGAGGCGGAGGAAGAGGACGACGAGCACGAGGAGGCCTGCTTCTCTCGCGGGCCAGGACAGCCTTCCGAGCCTGACTGACTGTCCGGCCTGCCCAAGTCTGAACGTTTTCAGCAGGCTGAGCCGGTTGCCAGGGATTTACTGCGACAAGCTCGGGAAGTACCCGTGGGTCTTCGCTGGTCTGAATTCGCTCGTGCTGATCATCCTCGTGTCTGTGCTGTGGCGCAAGCTCGAAGTGAATACTGACGTGGGCAGCTTCTACAAAGTCGACTCGCACGCTAGCATGTACCAGGATGTGTACGCAGAGGCACTCCGTCGTAGGAAACGGGACTGGAGTGGAAACGGTAGCGTCGAGGGAGACACTTTCCAGCTGACCTTGCTCTACCAGGTCAAGGATGACAGCCTGGCAGAGGGCCGCATCCTTTCTGAGGCCGCGCTGAGGGACATCCAATCGTTGGAGCAAGAGCTTCTGGCACTCGATGGCTGGTCCCGCATCTGCGGCAAGAGCCAGCAGCAGGTACAATACCGGTGCCAGCCAGGCGAGACACTAGGGAACTATGTGTGGCCGACGCGCCAGGACATGTATATCAATGCTTCTGGCGAGTTCGGCCTGTCCTTCTGGGGCACTGCCAGCGAAAGCCTGTCCATACCAGCCGTGTTGGCCTACCTAGACGAAGCTGGCGCGCCCCTCGATAAGTTGAAGTTCTTGCCGTTGGACGGCCAGGGCGAAAATGCGAAGGAATTGCGCTCCGTCTTCACGTTCACCGCGCCTGTCCTAGACGATGCCGGCTTTCGGGAGCAGTACGGGGCCTTCGTGCGCGAGACGCTGTATCCAAAGTTGCTGGAGGTTGTGGAGCGTTCCAGGGAGACGCCAGACGCGGACTCCTGGGACGAGGGCATGAGCGTCACCGTCTTTTTCTCCGGAGACCTCGTCGACGAGCACGAAGTACGGATGATCTTGGAGAGCGACATGAAGAAGGCTATCGGCGGCCTGGTATCTGTAGGGCTGCGCTTGCTGCCGCCTGCCCCCCAGGCTGAGCCGTCTTGGGATCAATCATGTCGCTGCAATATTGTGACCCCCTTTGGGCCCTGTTCTGCTATCCTGGGCCATCTTAGGGCCTCTGGGTGGGGCATGGGCATCTTGAGACTATCGCTGACATTTGTCCCAACCATCCTGTGGTGTCGGGTCCTCGTTTTGAATCAGAAGCGCCCCACGACCCCTCCTCCTCCCCCTCCGTCCTCCTGCCTCTGCCCTGGCACACCCCTGCAGCGCTTTTGAAGTCCCATGGGAGCTCCACAGGAGGTCAAAATGAAACAACAAGTCCGCGTGCAGTCGTGGGCTGATTTCGCTGGCCCCTGCCACGTTTTTCAAGCCCCATGGGAGCTCCACATAATGCCAAAATGGAACAGGTCCACATGCAGTCGTGGGCTCATGTCGCTGGCCCCGGCAACGCCTTTCAAGCCCCATAGGAGCTCCACAGAAGGCCGACATGAACAAGTCCGCATGCAGTTGCGGGCTCAGTTCGCTCGCCACTGCCACTCTCTTCAAGCCCCATGGGAGCTCCACAAGAGAATCCGTTTGCAGTCGTGGACTGAGTTCATAATTTCGCTCTTCCTGGCCACGCTCATTTCGCTGGCCCCTGACATGTTTTTTCCAGGCCCCAGAGAGAGCTCCACACAAGGCCGAAATTGCAAAGCTCGTATGCCTGACCACGCCCATTTCGATCGCCCCTGCCGTGTTTTTCAGGTCCTGCTCTGTGTCCAGTTCGGCACGTCCATCACACGAGCCGTGGCCCCACAGGGAGCTCCCCCTCTTTCGGCCCACCTGCCTTGCGGTATCCACAACTGCATATGGTTGGGTGCGTCGCTGGGCAAATGTTTGGTCTTACGTTTGGGGCATGTAGGACATGTTGGGCGCACTTGGACGGTTCTCTGCGTGCAACCTAGGGCAATATTGGGCAATCGTCCTGGGTGCTTAGCAGGCTGCCTGCATGACTAGGCACACAGCAAGCCATACGTGGCTTGAACTTCCTGGAGCTATTCTTGGTGTCGTCTTACTCTGCCTTCGGGGCATCTTCGGGTCAGCCCTTGGACGCTCAGGGTCCGCTCGGCGGCCGCTTGAGGACTCGTGGGGCGCTCCCAGAGGCCTCTGGGGCCCGTGTGAATCCTTTGGCAGCCTGGAGCGGTGAAGGGGGTCAGAGCACTGCCCGAGAACTTGGTGCCTCTCCCTTCTCCGCCTGGCAAGTCGAAGAAAAGGGACAGGGCTGGAGAGGCAGGAGACGGGGGATGCGACACGATTCGAGGGAGAGAGGGGGATAGAGAGAGAGAAAGAGAGAGAGATATGATATCAACACAGACAGCAGGCAAGCAACGAGCATCGCAGCCTAGCGCCCCCAACTGGAGCCCGCGGATTTGCTTTCGTGTTAGCCTGGGTGCAATTGGGGAGCCTCTTCTTGGCCCTCTTCGGTACCTGGTTGCTCTGTATGGCGCCTCTGCTGACGTGGTGCGTGCTGCCGGTCGTGGACCAGGCGGGCGCGAGGAACAGTCCTGTCTGCCAC